CAAAGAAAAATTGGGGTCACAATTTATTTTGCTAATTCTTTGTATAAAGTCTGAAAACAAATTTACTTAGTATTGCGCAACAGCACAGTGTATTGCACAACAGCAAGAAATCTTCAATTGAATATAAATTCAAATCATATAAACAAATTCATGTTCTTTGACTACATTTATTCTGTGTCAGAAACCTATAATGTGTCAAATATTTAATTACAATCCAAATTCAGACCTTATCAAACTTGAATATTGTGTCCATTTTTGCCCCAACTGTTCAGGGTTGGACCTCTGCGGTCGTATCCAGCTGCGCTTGGCGAAGCAGTTTATTGGTTATTATCTTGAATATTAGAGTTAAACTGTAAACAACAAAAATGTTCAGCAAAGTAAGCTCTACAAATAAGTCAGCATGATCAAAATTGTCAATTGACCCCTTCAGGAGTTATTGCCCTTTAAAGTCAATTTTTCACAATTTTTCGTAAATTTTTGTAATTTTTTACAAAAATCTTCTCCACTTAATCTACTGGGCCAAATAGAATTAAACTAAGACATAAATTTCAATAGGGTATCTTGATTGAGTTTATTTTTAGTAAATTTTACAGTTTACCGCGTTGTATATTGGTATGACGTTGGCGTCGTCGTCGTCTTCCGAAGACACATTGGTTTTCGCACAATAACTTTAGTTTAAGTGAATGGCTCTCTATGAAATTTTACCATAAGGTTCAAGACCACAAAAGGAAGGTTGGGATTGATTTTGGGGGTTATGGTACCAACAGTTTAGGAATTAAGGTCCAAAAAGGGGCCAAAAATAAGCATTTTTGTAACTTCCAGACAATAACTTGTGTGTTAGTTTATGGATCTCTCTGACATTGAACCACAAGGTTCCATATCACAACGGGAATGCTGGGATTGATTTTGGGGGTAATTGCCACAAAATTTTAGGAATTAGGGGCAAAAAACAAGCATTTTTCTAGTTTCATGACAATAACTTGTGTGTAAGTGTATGGATTTTTCTGAAATTGTACTACACGGTTCCATATCACTAAGGTAAAGCTAGGTTTGAGTTTGGGGGTAATTACCCTAAACGTTTAGGAATTATGGGCCAAAAAGGGGCCAAAAAACAAGAATTTTTCTAGTTTCCAGACAATAACTTGTGTTCAATCTCTCTGAAATTGTAGTGCAAGGTACCATACCTTAAAGGGAAGGCTGGGATTGATTTTGGGGGTAATTGCCTCAAAATTTTAGGAATTAGGGGCCACAAAGGGGCAAAAAACAAGCATTTTTCTAGTTACAGGACAATAACTTGTGTGTAAGTGTATGGATCTCTCTGAAATTTTACTGCAAGGTACCATACCTCAAAGGGAAGGCTGGGATTGAGTTTGGGGATGATGAATCATAAGGGGGTTCAACAAATTTTGGGGGGGTTGATTTTTTTTTCCTTTTTTAAGCTCACCTGGCCCAAAGGGCCAAGTGAGCTTTTCTCATCACTTGGCGTCCGTCGTCTGTCGTCCCTCGTCGTCGTCGTCCGTCGTCGTTAGCTTTTACAAAAATCTTCTCCTCTGAAACCACTGGGCCAAATTTAACCAAACTTGGCCACAATCATCATTAGGGTATCTTGTTTAAAAAATGTGTCCGATGACCAGGCCAACCAACCAAGATGGCCGCCATTGCTAAAATTAGAACATAGGGGTAAAATGTAGATTTTGGCTTATATCTCTGAAACCAAAGCATTTAGAGTAAATCTGACATAGTGTATAACTGATTATCAGGTCAAGATCTATCTGCTTTGAAATTTTCAGACAAATCTGACAACCCGTTGTTGGGTTGCTGCCCCTGAATTGGTAATTTTAAGGAAATTTTGCAGTTTTTGGTTATTATCTTGAATATTATTATAGATAGAGATAAACTGTAAACAGCAATAATGTTCAGCAAAGTAAGATCTACAAATAAGTCGTCATGACCAAAATTGTCAGTTGACCCCTTTAGGAGTTATTGCCCTTTATAGTCAATTTTGAACAATTTTTCGTAAATTTTTGTAATCTTTTACAAAAATCTTCTTCTCTGAAACTACTGAGACAAATTTAACCATACTTGGCCATAATTATTATTAGGGTATCTAGTTTAAAAAATTGAGAGCCTCTAGAAACTGGATAGGTTTTTTGTCATATGAACTATGAGTGCATGTACATTTATGTTATAGTATAATAACAGTATAACAAGTCACGTGAGGTGTATATGTCTGTCTGGCAGGTATTAGTCTTTGGCATATTTGGTAGGCTGGCCTGTTTCTCAGATCTACTAAAAGCAATAGGTCAACTGTATTTAATGAATGAGATAATTGTAACGTGATCTGTTTTACAGTGTTCATCTGACTTTTCATGGTTCATTGGTCAATGTTCAGTTTAAGTGGATAGAGCTGTATCTTGGATCCTATAAGCAGTTGGTAAACTATATGTGGTGTATGAAATGATTGTATGATACATACATGTATGTTAGTCTGACAAGGTGCCTCTGACCTTGACATCATTGTCATGGTTCATTGGTCAATGTAAAGTTTAAGTGTATAGAGCTGTATCTCTGATCCTATAAGCAGTTGGTAAACTATATTTGGTGTATGAAATGATTTTATGGTACACATGCTAGTCTGACAAGGTTCATCTGACCTTTGACCTCATTGCCATGGTTCATTGGTTAATGTAAAATTTAAGAGGATAGAGCTGTATCTGGGATCCTATTAGCAGCTGGTCAACTATATGTGGTGTATGACATGATTGTATGGTTCATATGCTAGTCAGATTAGGTTTGTCTGACCTTGACCTCATTGTCATGGTTCATTGGTTAATGTAAAGTTTAAGTGGATAGAGCTGTATCAGGGATCCTATTAGCAGTTGTTCAACTATATTTGGTGTATGACATGATTGTATGGTACATAATGTGCTAGTCTGACAAGATTCTTCTGACCTTGACCTCATTGTCATGGTTCATTGGACAATGGTAAGTTTTGTGGTTAGATCTGTTTCTATTAGCAATAGATTAAAGTTAGTGGGTGTATAGAATGGTTGTTAGGTGTACATATCCGTCTGGCAGGGTTATTTGACCATGACCTCATTTACATGGATCTTTGATGATTTTAAGTTTATAAGATACTTGTAGTAAAACCTTGATCGTAATCATGATCAGAAAAGCAGACGAGATATTTCAGCATGTGCACCTTTGTTGTTAAGGAATCTTTCCTCATTCACTAAAAGTAATAGGTCAAATATATTTGATGAAATCAGGGTAGGGTCTTCCTGTCACATGCCTGTTTATCTTGAAAGGTGCATCTGACCATGACTTCATTTTCATGGTTCATTGATTGGTCAATGTTAAGTTTTCATGGTTCATTGATTGGTCAATGTTAAGTTTTCATGGTTCATTGATTGGTCAATGTTAAGTTTTCATGGTTTGGTCTATTTCTCAGAAACTATGAGGTAACGGTTAACTAAATTTGGTTTATGTAATTACTGTATTTGTAATTTTTTTTCGCGAGTCCTTTTTTCGCGTATTTGGAATTGCCGACATATTCGTGTGTACTTAATTTCACGGTATTACCGAAATTGAAAAAATATAAATAACGGTCTGTTTACTAGGAAGTGAATATGAGTTTATATTTAGGATAGTAGGTACCCTTCGGGGATTATTGAGTAATAGTGTGAAAGAAAAAACTTTGAAACGTCGATGGATTAAATCCATGAAATCGGGGATGGCAGAAGTATGTGTTCAAAAATAAACTGGGACATCTGAAGCCAAATTTTTCAGTTTATAAAACTGTTCAATTGTAATTTTGTCTGAAATTGTTTTAATTATAGTTATGTTCATAAAATATTTATATTTTTTTTAATCAAGTCTATATCTTTTAACTAATATTATACAAAAGTTTACAAAATTGACAAATTATTCGATCAATGCAATCAACAAAACTGTCGATGATAAAAGGGAGATCTATATGATTATCCGATTAAGTTATTAATTACACAATAAAACTGTCATAGCAGATAGCAGCGTGGGTCATTCTGTGATATCATAATCCTTAATTGGCTCTTTGTGTGGATCACTCTTGTTGTTTTTTACAATATCACAGTTCAAATGAGGCTCTTGAGGGTAATCAAGGTAAACATGCATGTACAATTGTCAAAACCATTTGGGATATCGTATTGCAATTTTTAATATGCATGAACATTGTATTTTAGCGAAAAATATACCTTCCTGGAAATTCATGAAAATAAATACACCGCGAAAAAAGTAAAGTATAGTAAAGTGTACATGTCTGTCTTTTTACAGGGCTCATCTGTCCTTTACCTTTTTTTTTTTGTACGACAGCAAAATTTGTTGTCAGCGTCGTTGTTGTCGTCAGAAGACATTTGGTTTCCAGACAATAACTGGAGAACAAGTGTATGGATCACTATGAAATTGTACCACAAGGTTCCAAACTACATGAGGAAGATTGGGATTGATTTTAGGGGTTATGGCCCAACCTGAGTAGAAATTAGCGGCCAAAAAGTGGACAAAAAACTAGAATTTTCTGGTTTCCGGACAATAACTTGAGTATAAGTCTATGGATCCTATCAAATTGTACCACAAGGTTTCATATCAAAAAAGGAAGGTTGGGATTAATTTTGGGGGTTATGACCCTAACCGTTTAGGAAAAAGGGGCCAACAACAATACTTTTCTAATACTTTGTATCAATTGCTTATTTCTTGACCAATTTCAATGGAGTTTAATTCAAAGTTTTGAATTCTTGGGGTTCTTTAATATGCTAAATCTAACCGCGTATTTAGATTTTGGATTTTTGGCCCTGTTTTTGAATTGGTCCACATTGAGGTCCAAAAGGTCCAAAATTAAACTTTGTTTGAATTTGAAAGAAATTGAATTCTTCAAAAGAAGCTGTGACATTTCAGCGTGCACCTCTTGTTCATCTCAAATCTATTATTTTACATTGTTTAAATTTTATGTTAAACTTTATTTGCAGATTGTTATTGACCTGTGGCAGTTGGTATTAACGCCATGAAGACATCGTTTAAAGAAGTTGCTATTGAAGTTTGATGAAGGACAGTTTGTAGTTACTGAGTCAATGACAGTTTTATAACTAGAACCAACAGCTTTCAGTTTGGGTATTTAATCATTGTTAATCATATTGATTATATAATTCTGATTTTTATTCAAGTTATAAGTGTCTCTTTTAGGACATCAACTACATCAAGTCTTTTTATAAGAATGGTGAAAAAACCTCTGTCTTATTAGCTTTAATGGCATGTGCTTAGAACTAAAACAATGAGGAATCATGAAAAACCTCTGTCTTATAAGCTTTAATGGCATGTGCTTAGAACTAAAACATTGAGGAATCATGAAAAACCTCTGTCATATAAACTTTAATGGCATGTGCTTAGAACTAAAAACATTGCAGAATCATGAAATATCTCTGTCTTATAAGCTTTAATATGAGCTTTAACATGTTAAATGGCATGTGCTTAGAACTAAAACATTGCAGAATCATGAAAAACCTCTGTTTTACTAGCTTTAATGGCATGTGCTTAGAACTAAAACATTGCAGAATTATTAAAAACCTCTGTCTTATTAGCTTTAATGGCATGTGCTTAGAACTAAAAACATTACAGGATCATTAAAAAACTCTGTCTTATTAGCTTTAATGGCATGTGCTTAGAACTAAAACATTGCAGAATCATGAAAAACCTTAGTCTTATCAGCTTTAAAATCATGTGCTTAGAACTAAAACATTTCACAATCATGAAATATCTCTGTCTTATAAGCTTTAACATGTTAAATGGCATGTGATTAGAACTAAAACGGTTGCAGAATCATGAAAAATCTCTGTCTTACTAGCTTTAATGGCATGTGATTAGAACTAAAAACATTGCAGAATCATGAAAAACCTCTGTCTTATTAGCTTTAATATCATGGGCTTAGAACTAAAACATTGCACAATCATGAAATATCTCTGTATTGTAAGCATTGATGGCATGTGCTTAGAACTAAAACATTTCACAATCATGAAATATCTGTGTGTTATAAGCATTGATGGCATGTGCTTAGAACTAAAACATTCCACAATCATGAAATATCTCTGTGTTATAAGCATTGATTGCATGTGCTTAGAACTAAAACATTCCACAATCATGAAATATCTCTGTGTTATAAGCATTGATTGCATGTGCCAAGACCTAAAACATTCCACAATCATGAAATATCTCTGTGTTATAAGCATTGATTGCATGTGCTTAGAACTAAAACATTCCACAATCATGAAATATCTCTGTCTTATAAGCTTTAACATGTTAAATGGCATGTGATTAGAACTAAAACGGTTGCAGAATCATGAAAAATCTCTGTCTTACTAGCTTTAATGGCATGTGATTAGAACTAAAAACATTGCAGAATCATGAAAAACCTCTGTCTTATTAGCTTTAATATCATGGGCTTAGAACTAAAACATTGCACAATCATGAAATATCTCTGTATTGTAAGCATTGATGGCATGTGCTTAGAACTAAAACATTTCACAATCATGAAATATCTGTGTGTTATAAGCATTGATGGCATGTGCTTAGAACTAAAACATTCCACAATCATGAAATATCTCTGTGTTATAAGCATTGATTGCATGTGCTTAGAACTAAAACATTCCACAATCATGAAATATCTCTGTGTTATAAGCATTGATTGCATGTGCCAAGACTTAAAACATTCCACAATCATGAAATATCTCTGTGTTATAAGCATTGATTGCATGTGCTTAGAACTAAAACATTCCACAATCATGAAATATCTCTGTGTTATAAGCATTGATTGCATGTGCTTAGAACTAAAACATTCCACAATCATGAAATATCTCTGTGTTATAAGCATTGATAGCATGTGCTTAGAACTAAAACATTCCACAATCATGAAATATCTCTGTGTTATAAGCATTGATTGCATGTGCTTAGAACTAAAACATTCCACAATCATGAAATATCTCTGTGTTATAAGCATTGATTGCATGTGATTAGAACTAAAACATTCCACAATCATGAAATATCTCTGTGTTATAAGCATTGATTGCATGTGCTTAGAACTAAAACATTCCACAATCATGAAATATCTCTGTGTTATAAGCATTGATTGCATGTGCCAAGACCTAAAACATTCCACAATCATGAAATATCTCTGTGTTATAAGCATTGATTGCATGTGCTTAGAACTAAAACATTCCACAATCATGATATATCTGTGTTATACGCATTGATAGCATGTGCTTAGAACTAAAACATTCCACAATCATGAAATATCTCTGTGTTATAAGCATTGATTGCATGTGCTTAGAACTAAAACATTCCACAATCATGAAATATCTCTGTGTTATAAGCATTGATAGCATGTGCTTAGAACTAAAACATTCCACAATCATGAAATATCTCTGTGTTATAAGCATTGATTGCATGTGCTTAGAACTAAAACATTCCACAATCATGAAATATATCTGTGTTATAAGCATTGATTGCATGTGCTTAGAACTAAAACATTCCACAATCATGAAATATATCTGTGTTATAAGCATTGATGGCATGTGCTTAGAACTAAAACATTCCACAATCATGAAATATCTCTGTGTTATAAGCATTGATGGCATGTGCTTAGAACTAAAACATTTCACAATCATGAAATATCTCTGTGTTATAAGCATTGATGGCATGTGCTTAGAACTAAAACATTCCACAATCATGAAATATCTCTGTGTTATAAGCATTGATTGCATGTGCTTAGAACTAAAACGTTCCACAATCATGAAATATCTCTGTGTTATAAGCATTGATGGCATGTGCTTAGAACTAAAACATTCCACAATCATGAAATATCTCTGTGTTATAAGCATTGATGGCATGTGCCAAGAACTAAAACATTCCACAATCATGAAATATCTGTGTGTTATAAGCATTGATGGCATGTGCCTAGAACTAAAACATTCCACAATCATGAAATATCTCTGTGTTATAAGCATTGATGGCATGTGCCAAGAACTAAAACATTCCACAATCATGAAATATCTCTGTGTTATAAGCATTGATGGCATGTGCCAAGAACTAAAAACATTACAGAATCGGATGTGTTACTCGAATAATATAAAACTATGACAGAATGATGAAATATAACAAGTTAACTATTATTAAGCGAAAAAAAAAAATTGTTCCAAAATCAAAATGTTGCAAATATTGACTTCTTCCTGTTGATACTCTACCAAATTTGGCCAACTCAAGACCCATGCATGTACAAATAAAGATCAAGCATCAACATGAAATTGTGACAACATTATTATCCTTTGTTAGGCAACACTTTGTCTTCTGAAGAAAAAAAAATGAGTAACAGTTTAACAAAAACAGAGACCATGTTTATTCACTTTCTAATCATTTTTTGTCGAGCCTGCGACTTTTGTCGCAAAAAGCTCGACATAGGGATAGTGATCCGGCGGCGGCGGCGGCGGCGGCGGCGTTAGCTCACTTCTTAAAAGCTTTATATTTTAGAAGGTGGAAGACCTGGATGCTTCATACTTTGTATATAGATGCCTCATGTTACGAAGTTTCCGTCAGTCACATGTCCAATGTCCTTGACCTCATTTTCATGGTTCAGTGACTACTTGAAAAAAAAGTGAAGACTTTTTGGAATGTTAAATTCTCTCTTATTATAAGTAACAGGATAACTATATTTGGTATGTGCATACCTTGCAAGGTCCTCATGCCCGTCAGATAGTTTTCACTTGACCTCGACCTCATTTCATGGATCAGTGAACAAGGTTATGTTTTCGTGGTCAAGTACATATCTGAGATACTATAAGCAATAGGTCTACTATATTTGGTGTATGTAATGATAGTAAGGGGTACATGTCAAACTGGCAGGTGTCATCTGACCTTGACCTCATTTTCATGGTTCAGTGGTCATAGTTTTATTTTTGTGTTTTGGTCTGTTTTTCTAATACTGTTTGTAATAGGTTAACTGTATTTGGTGTATGGAAATATTGTACGATGTTCATGTCTGTCTGGCAAGTTTTATTTGACCTTGACCTCATTTTTACGGTTCATTGCTCAATGTTAAGTTTTTGTGTTTTGGTTTGTTTTTCTAATACTGTATGCAGTAGGTCAACTATATTTGGTGTATGGAAATATTTTACGATGTACATGTCAGTCTGGCATGTTTTATTTGACCTTGACCTCATTTTCAAGGTTCATTGCTAAATGTTAAGTTTTTGTGTTTTGGTCTGTTTTCCTAATACTGTATGCAGTAGGTCAACTATATTTGGTGTATGGAAATATTTAATGATGTACATGTCAGTCTGGCAGGTTTTATTTGACCTTGATCTCATTTTCATGGTTCATTACTTATGTTAAGTTTTTGTGGTTTGGTCTGTTTTTCTTACACTTTAAGCAACAGGTCAACTATATTTGGTGTATGGGATGATTGTAAGGTGTACATGTCTAGCTGGCAGGTGTCATTTGACCTTGGCCTTATTTTCATGGTTCAGTGGTCAAAGTTAAGATTTTGAGTTTTGGTCTTTTTTTCTAATACTATATGCAATAGGTCAACTATATTTGGTGTATGGAAATATTTTATGATCTTTATGTCAGTCGCGCAGTTTTTATTTGACCTTGACCTCATTTTCACAGTTCATTGCTCAGTGTCTAGCTGCCAGGTGTCATTTGACCTTTGCCTCATTTTCATGGTTCAGTGGTCAAAGTTAAGTTTTTGTGTTTTGGTCTGTTTTTCTTAAACTATAAGCAATAGGTCAACTATATTTGTTGTATGGAAGAATTGTTAACTGTACATGCATATGCCTGCCTGGCATGGTTCATCTGACCTTGATCTCATTTTCATGGTTCATTGGTCAATGTTTAGCTTTCTTGGTTAATGTTAAGTTTATGTGACAGTTGTAAGAAAGCTTTATATTTAGGACTATCAACATAATATCAATGATTAGAAAAGAAGGCGAGACATTTCAGCGTGTGCACTCTTGTTCTAATGCAACTATTGATACCACTAATAAATGAGAAAACAAAATTGATGTGAGGAAAAAAATGGGTCAAATCATTACTTCTAGATATAAAAATAAGGAGATGTTATATGAGTGCCAATGAGACAACTATCCACCAATGCTCAAAATGAAGTGGATGTAAGCAATTATAGGCAACTGTACTGCCTTCAACTATGCAAAAAACCCATACTGTACGGTTGCCTTTAAAAGTCCATAACATGAACAATGTGAGACAATTTACTTGAGAAAACTGACAGCCTGATTTACAATGAATTATAACAAAACAATTTACAAAAATCAAATAAAATTGACAGACACGAACAACAACCACTAAACTACAAGTTCCTGACTTAGGTCAGGCACGTACAGAATGTGGCGGGGTTAAACATCTAAGCTAGCTGGAACACTGATCTTGGTGAGTGTTCAACCCTCCCCTAACCATGGACAGTGGTGTTACAGCGCAACAAAAGAACACATTGTAAAGATAAGTTGCAATGGGCTTAACTCAAAAGATCGTTATGAGGCACAAAAATAACTAACATGAAAACAATAGATAAAAAGCACCATAATAAGAGTACTTGCAGTTACTGAAAGCTAGTTCAAAGCCAATTACAACATATAAATAAATCCTTGACCTTACCAAGTAAGGTCTAAAATTGTAAACACATTTGATCATAAAACATATTTTGACTTCTGTATGTCAGAAATCAAAAAAAAAAATACTTGTTAATGTCTGAGCTCTGACTGATGTTAAAAGGGAGACAACCAAATTATATATGCCAATATACTGACTATAAGTCCAGTGCTTTTTTCAATGCATACCATGTTTATCATGTTAAAGGGGAGATAATCAAATTAACTTACTACTATATACTATCCATATGTCCATGTGCATTGTCAGTGTAACAGCTGGACATATGTTATTGTGTCTTGTGGTCTTACATGTTAAAGGGGATATAATCAAATCAACTTTCTTCAGTATACTGTCCTTATGTCTGTATGCCTTGTCAGCCCTTTCCTGCTTAACAGATGATGGATATATTAAAATGTACACATGCAGTGGAGAAAAAGAAACAAATCAAAATATGGCATCATACCTAAATCAATGCTAAAAATATAAGTCATAGAATTAAAACTTGTGTATTTTAAATGTTTTCTTTTCTTTTTACAGGATATAATGGCAGATTGGAATAAGGTAAGATTTTCTTTCTAAAGTTCAATTTTCATGTGACCTATTTTTGTCTTTAAACTGTAGAGAAAGGTACATGTGTGTAGTTCATTGTATTCATAGAGGGAAAATAGAAGAAAATCAAAATGACAAGAGTTATACAAATTTAAATAGACAAAATTTGAAGGAGCAAACCTGATACATTATCACATGATTATATAATCATCCAAAGTTTTTTTCTTCTCTCAAAAAACTCTGAAATTACCAACAACAATTTCACTGTCTTGGTCAGTTGTTGTTACTGCATTTGAAAAGCAAACTGTAAAAGTGAACATCATAAGCAGAATAACTAAAAGTAGTTTGTTTATTTGAATGATTACATTTATCATACATTGTTATGTACAGGAGAGAAATGCTTAAGCTTTGTTTTACTTACAGAAACTTTGTATAGCTACTCAGGAGGGAAACATTAAAGATGTGGATTTATCTTTACAGAATGGAGCTAATTTGGAATATAAAAGTAATATTGTAAGTGAAGTAGAAATATTTAAAACATATAAAGGTATTTACTTACAGAACACACAAAGTCAATCATATATAAATCACCTTTGTTTGTTCTGATTGATTCATTGTTAAACACAGTAAATATTGGTTATTACATGTATTTCTGTATTTTACATAAGAAGTAAGAAACATTGTTACACAGTACCAATACACTGAACACCGTACACAAAATACCAAGTAGGCAATCAAAACACATAAGTAGAAGAAGAATAACATTGTAGAAAGACAAATACAAAAAAGATAAAATAAAAGTTCCTAAGCTCTTCACAAAAAATGAAAACAACACGTTATAAATTTTATGCACCGATCTGCTTTTCTGGATTTACCCTCATTAGGAATGCTCAAAGCCGAATATTTGAAAGCCAAGGATGAAGAAGAGCCGAAACAGTTGAAGAGCTACATGAGTTGAGCAACAAGAACAAGCATGAAATATGTCATTACACTTTTATGTTATTGGGTTGCTGTCTCAAAGCTTCATTATTTGATAACATCATTAAGTCAAAGCCAAAGGGATCGGACAAAAGTATTCAACTTATCCAAGGTTCAACTCATCCAAGTTCTAATTTGTCAGACAATAAGAATGCATGAAATATGTTATGAGATTTGTGTAAACTAAATATTTTGAACATTGTGCCTTTTTTTGTGACATGTGTATTGAAGCATATTTTTTTATCCTCTTAATAATTGAAAATACAAGTACAGATACAAACATTCACAAACAAAATCAATAAACTAATATTAACAAAGGTCAGTCACTATAAATTATTGAATCACTTGCGTAACTAAACTTAGTCCGGAAATATCACTGATGAGGAGTACTGTCAAGTCTCATGCAATGTGCTCAAGATCCGTAAATATCACTGATGAGGAGTACTGTCAAGTCTCATGTAATGTGCTTAAGAGACTCGCACATTCTAATGCTTATTTGGCGGAATTTTCCTTTGATCTATTGTTGTAATGCTCCCACTGTAGCGGAGGGGGCATTAAGTTTTACCCTTGTACGTCTGTACGTCCATAGTCTGTACATCCCGAAGTTGGTTTCCGTTTTCTAACTTTAGTTTGCCTCTACCAAATGTTATGAAACTTATACACAATGCTTATTACCACAACATACAGATCAACTTTGGTGGTGTCACTTCAAGCGTTCTAGAGTTATGCCCCTTTACAAGTGGAAAAATTGCTGAATTTTTCGTTTCCGTTCTCTATCTTAAGTTTGCCTAAACCAAATGTTAAGTACAAATTTGGGTAGCGTCACTTTTACAGTTCTTCAGTTATGTCCCTTTAAAACTTTATATGATATGCAAGCGGGGGCATCATCTGTGTCCCATGGACACATTCCCCATTTATTTCTCTTTGATCTTTAAAATTTTTCCAAATCTCGTGCATTTGCTTCATGAAAACTTGACAGCCTTGGATGAGGGTTGTCTGCTTTGTATTCTATAATTGTAACTCTGTCATAATTGTGTTAAACCCTTTAAATATTGCAATTAATGACTTTTGGTTCTAACCATTCATCTGATCTCGGCTCTGGTCATTTTAATTTTTAATATGAGGTGAAATATGTAAAAATTCTGCTTGGGCGATCAAAAAAGGTGTTAATTACCATGTTTACTGGTCATCTGAAACATGTCCTTTTAAATGTTATAAGAACAAGTATGTTTACACAGCTTTAACCACTTATAAGACCACGTCTGTACTGAACATGACATGCGACACCTGATCAAACAACATCCATTTACCATTCCTGTTCTAACACATGACATGTGACACTTGATCATACAATATTCATTTACCACTCCTGTACTGAACATAATATGTGACACCTGATCATACAACATGCATTTACTTCTTCTGTACTGATTATGTCATGTAACACCAGATCATACAACATTCATTTGTCACTCCTGTACTAAACAAGACACGTGACATCAGATCATAAAACATGCATTTGTCACTCATGTAATGAACATGACATGTGACACCTGCTCATATAACATGTGTTTACATCATCTGTACTGAACACTCCAGACTGTACATGACATGTGACACAAGATCATACAACATGCATTTACCACACCTATACTGAACATGACGTGACATCTGATCATACAACATCAAGTTACCACTCCTGTACTGAACATGACATGTGATACCTGATCACACAAAATTCATTTACCACTCCTGTACTGAACATGACATGTGCCACCTGATCATACAACATTTATTTCACATTACTGTACTGAACATGCCGTGTGATACCTGATGATACAACATGCATTTACAACTCCTGTATTGAACATGACATGTGATACCTGATCATACAACATTCATTTACCACTCCTGTACTGAACATGACATGTGATACCTGATCATACAACATTCATTTACCACTCCTGCACTGAACATGACATGTGCCACCTGATCATACAACATTCATTAACCACTCCATTACTGAACATGATGAGACACCAAATCATATAACATTCATTTACCACTCCTGTACTGAACATGACATGTGACACTGGATCATACAACATTCATTTACCATTTCTGTACTGAACATGACATGTGACACTGGATCATACAACATTCATTAACCACATCTGTACTGAACATGACATGTGACACCTGATCATACAACATTCATTTACCACTCCTGTACTGAACATGACATGTGACACTGGATCATACAACATTCATTTACCACTCCTCTACTGAACATCACATGTGACATCTGATCATACAACATTCATTTACCACTCCTGTAATGAACATCTGTAATGAACATGACATGTGCCACCTGATCATACAATATTCATTTACCACTCCTCTACTGAACATGACATGTGACATCTGATCATACAACATTCATTTACCACTCCTGTACTGAACATGACATGTGACACTGGATCATACAACATTCATTTACCACTCCTGTACTGACATGATATGTGACACTGGATCATACAACATTCATTTACCACTCCTGTACTGAACATGACATGTGACACTGGATCATACAACATTCATTTACCACTCCTGTACTGAACATCACATGTGACACTGGATCATACAACATTCATTTACCACTCCTCTACTGAACATCACATGTGACACTGGATCATACAAAATTCATTTACCACTCCTCTACTGAACATGACATGTGACACTGGATCATACAACATTCATTTAGCACTCCTGTACTGAACATGTCATGTGACACCTGATCATACAACATTCATTTACCACTCCTGTACCGAACATGACATGTGACACCTGATTGTACAACATTCATTTACCACTCCTGTACTGAACATGACATGTGACATCTGATCATACAACATACATTTAGCACTCCTGTACTTAACATGACATGGGTAACCTGTTAACATGTGACATAGCAATGACATACTTACACCAACATGTGACATTGCAAAAAACTCTTATACTCAACACCAACCTGACATAGCAATGCCACTCTTATACTCATCTCCAACATGTGACATAGCAATAACTCTCTTATACTCAACACCAAATTGTGACATATCACTGACACTCTTATACTCAACACCAACATGTGACATAGCAATGACACTCTTATACTCAGTACCATCATGTGACATAGCAATGACACGCTTATACTCAGTACCAACATGTGACATAGCAATGACATACTTATAGTCAACACCAACATGTGACATAGCAATGGCACTCTTATACTCAACAACAACATGTGACGTAGCAATGGCACTCTTATACTCAGTACCAACATGTGACATAGCAATGACACCCTTATACTCAGTACCAACATGTGACATAGCAATGACACTCTTATACTCAACACCAACATGTGACATAGCCATGACACACTTACACTCAGCACCAACATCTTACATAGCAATAACACTCTTATATTTAACAGTAGCATGTATCAGCAATGACATACTTATACTCAACACCATCATGTGACATAGCAATGACACTCTTATACTCATCACCAACATGTGACATATCAATGACATACTTATACTCAGCACATACATGTGGCATAGCAATGACACTCTAATGCTCAGCACCAACATGTGACATAGCAATGATACTCTTATACTCAACACCAACATGTGACATAGCAATGACATACTTAAACTCAATACCATCATTTGATATATCAATGGCAGATGTATACTCAACACCAACGAGTGACATATCAGTGACATACTTATACTCAGCACTAACATTTGACATAGCAATAACACTCTTATACTCAACACTAACATGTGACATAGCAATGACATACTTATACCTAACACCAACAGAAATGACACTATAATTCTCAGCACAAACATGTGACATAGCAATGACACTCTCATACTCAGCACCAACATGTGACATATGAATGACACACTCATAAACTCAGCACCATCATGTGACATAGCAATGACACACTTATACTCAACACCATC